GCAGAAATTTTTCCCGGGACCGTTTTTCCCCACCTTTGACATCTTTATGATGGGTGGCCTCCACCTCCGAATTTCCCCAGGCCGGCTTGGCTGGGTGGGGAATTCTGGGAGTTGAAGTCCACGCATCTTAAAGTTGCCAAGGTTGAGAAACACTGGCCTAGAGAACAGTTCCTGCCTATCTCCATCAAGGCCCTCTTCCTGCCTCTCTACGGATGTAAATCGAACCAATGGGCAAATATTCTTTGCAGGGCCTCACAGGGAGTTTGCTGGCCCAGATGCCTTGTTGCTCACCCTCTCTGTTCTGCTTCTTCCCTTTCTAGTACCCAGAGCCACAGTACCCGGACAGACCCCTTCCAATGTCCCAGCATGAGACTTCTCCGACAGCACTGCGGAGGGCCAGCAACAACCGACGGGCCAACCCCTGCTGCCTGTGTTGGTGCTGCTGTTGCAGCTGCTCGTGGTAGGTGCCTGCAAGGATGCAGCTGGGAGGTTTCGGCTCTTCCCCGGGAGCTATTCTGCTGCGTCTGCACACGTGCGTGTGCACACGCACGTTTTCACGACTCCGCACGCCTTGCCAGCGATTCGGAAATACACTAGCACTTTCCTTCTCCGATGTTATTAAAGCAGCCGGATCTTTTTGCCGACGCCCACGGGAGCCTGAAACCAAAATGCTGCTGCTTTGAGGAGCTGTCTCTTTAACGATAATGTCACTCCTGAAAGCAGCTGCATTTCTCACCCCACCAGCCCAGGTGGGCCAACCTTGCAAGGCGTCGTCCCGCTTTAAGGAAGAGCAGAGAAGTGTTGCATTCATGGGAGGCACGAAGCGCTTTTCACAGTTCATTTGCAAGGCATGCTCAGCCTTAATGCGCACGAGCTGATAAATGTTCCCAAGAAAGCAGGCATCTTTCACAAAGATTCCGTGATAAATGGCCTGGCCAGATGAACTCCCTTACGGTCAAAAGATCCCAGGGTTCTTTGACCAGAAATGTTTTTAAAGAGAAATATTCGGTCGCGTCACTAAGCTCGCAGCACCGGGCTATGAAACTCCCTGTTTACATTCAGGAGACACAGTGTATTTTTTAAGACCTGTCCAAGGAGAAAACGTTCAGTTACTTTAAGAAGGTGCCTCCCTTCCAGATCCAAACACTTCACAACTCTCATGAGCCAATCAGAAGCAAACAGTTGCTGGATGAGACCCCAATACTCATCATGCGCAGCGCAAAAGACGAGCTGCAAGGAACCTCTCTTGGTTTAGCCTCTGCCTGGTACTTGCCATGAAAAGAAAGTGATTCTGTTCTTCTGTGGTAACAAGTTTCCCTTTCCTCCTGTGTCATCCACCACTCAAGCCGGCCCGGAGTTTAAACTGTGTTTATTCCTAGAGGCTGCCTGGGAGCATTTAACAAAGCGAGTCTAAACCCCATTTGGAACAGATGGTTTCTCCTATTTGTACTTCGCAGAGCGCATCCCGTTCTCTCTGGCTCGGAGCGCGCATGCCTGGGTCTAGGTATTTTAAATTTAGAGCATTCCCTACTGATTCATTTGCTCACAGGCTCTTCTAAGAAATGCCATTATTTCCTAGCTTAATGTGCCCTTAATACCGTCTCTGTCCCTTGCTTTCAAGTCTGTTCCACATACAGAATACAGTGGTACCTCGGTTCACGAACTTAATTCGTTCCGCGACTCTGGTCGCGACCCGAATTGGTCGCGACCCGAATCAAATTTTCCCATAAGGTTCAATGTAAATACGGTTAATCCGTTCTGACCCCTCCGAATTTGGTCGCCAAGCGATTTTGGTCGTGACCTGAATCAAATTTTCCCATAAGGTTCAATGTAAATACGGTTAATCCGTTCTGACCCCTCCGAATTTGGTCGCCAAGCGATTTTGGTCGTGACCTGAATCAAATTTTCCCATAAGGTTCAATGTAAATACGGTTAATCCGTTCTGACCCCTCCGAATTTGGTCGCCAAGCGATTTTGGTCGTGACCTGAATCAAATTTTCCCATAAGGTTCAATGTAAATACGGTTAATCCGTTCTGACCCCTCCGAATTTGGTCGCCAAGCGATTTTGGTCGTGACCTGAATCAAATTTTCCCATAAGGTTCAATATAAATACGGTTAATCCGTTCTGAATCATATGTGGGTTTTTTTTAAACCACAAAAATATGACACAAAGTACAGTACAAAGAGAGAGAACCCAAACCTTGCTTGAGGCGTGGAGGACAGGAAGGCGGGTGGGGAGGCGGTTATTGCTTGGAGGGAGAGTCCCCCTCCCTACAGGAAGCCACGACCCCGTGTCACGGCAGGGAAAATGGCCGCGGATCCCTTTTGTCACCCGATGCGGAGTTCGCGAACAGAAGCAGAATTTTGCAAACGGTGCTGTTCGTGACCCGAATTGGTTGTGAACAGAAGCGTTCGTGACCCGAGGTACCACTGTATTCATAAATAGTGAGAATTTTTCTGTAACACAAGAATGCTAGATTGCAGTTCTCTGCAACTGTAACTGGAGTGAGCTGCCAGGAGCTCTAATTTACCAAAATTGACAGGGCCAGAGATTGTCCAACCCTGGTGTAAAGGAAAACAGTTCACCCAACCTGTTCAACCTGGTTACAGAAGTCATCCATTTCTGGGGTCGCAGTGTCTCTTCAGTCGTCACTAACCAAACAGACTGGATTTGCCCACCCTGCTGAACCACCCACAATTAACCAAGGTTAAAACAAATCAAAGTTTAGCATGTTGTAAAAATGCAGGTGTTTGGTTTTTCTCTGTGTGGGCTAAGGATATTGTGTGGACGCAGCCAGAGCGCTGCAGGGCACTGATAAATGAGGGAAATGCAGTGGAAGAAAATGGAGCTGGAGTTTCAGTGGTTGAAACACTTCCTTTGAACACAAAGGACTGCAGATTCTGTTCCTCTTAACATGGTTTCAGGCAGCAGAAGTTGGGAGAGGTTTTTGAGATTCTGGACAGCTGCCTTAACTAAGTCACTTTTCACCAGGCCTCTCTTTTGTTCCCAAATGATAGGGTGGGAAGTTTATGGCATTTCAACACTTCCATGGGCAACTGCAGGGAGGCTGCAGATCAAGCGATGTCACACCCAGCCTAACGTCACCGCACAGACAACTTCCCGTGCTCATGGCATCCTCACGCAAGCAGTGCAAGTCATGACGTGACTTAGTACAGCTGACCTGACGTGTAACATCTGCCAGATGATGTCATGGCATCTTGGTGTCTTCTACCCCTCCCAAGGTTCTCATTGCACGCTAGAGGAACTTTGGAATTTTCTGCAATAAGGATTAAGGTTTCTGAGCACAAGTGTGTTGGAGGGAGATCAAAACTCAATCCAGAACTTTGGAGGTTAGGCCTGGCCCATCTGAACATCAAATGGGGCTTGCTCTGTTTTTTCACTCATCTCTGGTCCCCTGGTTGATTGGGGATTTCCAGTCCCAACATTCCCAACCAACAGGGCTTCAAGGAAGATGGCCATTCAGAAGACTCCACAGGATCCAACTCTTGTCAAAAAAATGGAACCTGCTAATCCCACCTCTTTTGCATGTCTTTATGATGTCATAATGCATGCCCAAAAGGGGCGGGGCTTGCAGCTTTTCTCATTTCCCCCCCTTGAAGGCATACACCCCACAGATGTTTCTGCTGCTGCGCACACTGTTGGCAAATGCCTTTAACCCAGGTCTGCTCCCATTCCACTTAAAGACAGTGGGAGAGGGATTTTAAAATAAGAGGATATCAAGTTTGGAGACCACGTGCTGCCTTCACTCATTCTTCTCCCAGGCATTTTCCTTCCTTCCAGACAAGTTCTGATCAGGCTTCCCATTTTTTTAAGTGGTTTTAGAAGGCCCAATAAAAGCATCTCCTCTCTGATTTTATGAAGAAAGCAGCTAAGACGCACATCAGTCTGAACCGGGAGAATACTGGAGATGTTGGTGCAGAAAGCTAAAAATGTGCATAGCCTTTAGGAGAAGAGGCGAGGAAAGCAATGCAATTTTCAAGCTTCTCAATCCTTCTGCTTCTCGCTTCTGATCGTGATGCTGCCCTGGCCCATGAATCACAGGAGTGGCTTTTGTTTGCGAGCAAAACAGAAGTGACCACTGGGTGACTACATCCCACTCCACGTTTAACCAAGTCCATCAAAAGACCCAGTGGAATTGCGTTAATGCAACAGGCTTTTTAGCCTTCGTTAGCTTCTTTGTGGCTTTAGGATATTACGTCAGCCCAGCCTAACTCTGGTTTAATGGATTATACAACTGCCCTCCCATGGGGTAATTCACTAACCAGGGTCAGTGTGTGGTGTGAACCTGGCCGGTGATTCAGTGAGCCCCCGTTGACAAAACGCCAAGCTCAAAAGTTGTGGAAGCAAAAAGGGGAAGAACGGCGAGCCAGCTCACGACTCTGATGGCCCCCTCAGATGCTTTGCAGAAAATCCCGCCATCAGCCATCCTAGCCAGCTTGCCTATTAAGACCTCTGGCAGCCCTTTGCCCTCCCTGTGTGAATTCATTTTTGAATTTTTTTTTCCTTGCCTCATCATTAGAGGCCATCCCGACTTGTGCCAAGCAATCAGGGTGTTTTCTCCTTTTCTGTCGGAGATTTTGGCAGTGGTGAGACAGTTCCCTGGGTTCTTTGGAGAAAGTCGTGATGGTTAAGCTGGGTGAAATGAGTGGTTGAAGACAAGCCCGCTCTGCCACCTCTGGTTTTTGGGTTTTTTTATGGAGGGGCACAAGGAAAGTCTGCCATGCCCTCTCTCAGGCCCATTTCAAGCAAGCTGAAAATTTGCAGAGAAAGAAGGAAAGGTGCAAGTTTTATGAACCTCGACGTTTCATGATCCTGGTGACTCCCTGCACATGTATTTATTTATTTACTCAGTTTATTAACTGCCCATCTCCCTTTATCCAAGTGACAAGGTTAAAAAACAATCAGTAAATACATTAAAAAGGATAAACAATATTAAAAAACCAAGCAAAACAGAAAATATTAGACAAAGGGACATTAAAAATAATGGAGCCATCTCACTAGATCGCCCATCTCCTGGGATCCCCCAGCCTGTTGACACAACCAGGTCTTGAGGGTCTTCCCAATGTTCATATTATTTTTCATATGCTCATAATATGTTCACATTATTTTACAGCATTCATATTATTTTCTTGGCACCTGTACAGAAATGGTTTCCTTCTGCTCTCTTCCAGGATTTTTTTCCAGCTCCTAGTCTAGCCTACAGTCCCAACCAAGTACTAACCAGGCCGGCCCTGCTTAGCTTCCAGGCCATGATGAGCTGCTAAAGCCAATGCTGAGACTTAAAGTTCCTGACCAGTTGCTGGCTGAGTAGTCCGAGTTGGCAGTGCAGAGGGACTGTTCCCCTTTTTCTAGCATTTTAACTTCTGCTTCTTCTTCTGCTTCCTGCTGTTTAAATGTTGAGGGAACACTGACATCTGTTGGCCAGATCACATCAAACTCAAAATTCAGGCAGTGGGTTACATCACTGTTTTTCAAACTTGGCCACTTTAAGGTGGGTGGACCACAACTCCCAGCATTCCCCAGCCAGCATGGGGAATTATGTAACCCTAGGTTACATAAACTTAAGGCAGGTCTTTGGAGATAACGGATTAACTCAGTAACCAGGCTGGATGTAGCTACTGAGGTTTCAAAAAGGTTCCATCTGTGTTTGGTTGAATATGAGAAAATATAATGTGCGGTTCCAAGGAGAGCGATCTGCTCAGCCAAATATGGGTTGAAATGTCTTTCAAATCTCGCTGCTCAAACAGGAAGATCTGAAATCATGGGTGAGATGGGCATATTGGAGAAGACCTTGTGCACTGCCTCATTTCAAGCCAGTGTTTTCCAAACTTGGCCACA